CGCGCCCGGAGGGGACGGCCCCGCTCCCAGGTACCTGGCAGCGGCTCAGCTGCTCCGCCAGGCTCCGCAGCTCTTCCTCCAGCTCTGCCACCCGCGGTGCCGCCGCCTCCGCTCGCCCCGAAGCCATCGCCGGCGCGGTGGTAGTGAGAGCCTCTCGCCCCCTCTGCGGGGGGGTGGGGGGGGGCGGCGAGAAGAAGGTCAGCGCCTGGCGGAGAGGGTGCGGAAAGGGCCTGCCCGCCCGCTCCTGAGGGAAAGGGGAGAGAAACGGTGCCGTGAACCACACAAACGAAAACTTTCCCCCTCTCAGCTGCACTTACCGCACGGGCGAGCGCCGGAAACCGCAGAGAAGAAGGACGCGGTGCAATGACGTCAGCGCAACTGCTGCCCCGACAAAGAGAAGCAGCCAGAGGCAGGTTTGAATTTGCCCGCCCGGGCGGCAGGGCCGCGCATGCGCCCTGCCTGAGGCGGCGGCCGGTTCCCGCGCGAGGCGCCGTCGGTGAGGAGAGCCGTTAAGGGCCCGTCCCTGTGGCGCGGGCAGGGCTGCCTGGGCGCTCGGTCCGGGTGTAGGGGATGTAAAAGCAGCACATTCTTCGGCGGCAGGGACTGGCACTGCGGGAGGGTAGGCCGTACGAGCTCCTGCCAAGGGTGGGGGTTGAGCCTTGTTTTACCCTCACGATACAGGAACAGCTGCTGCCTAGTCAAGGTGCTGAGCGCAGGGTTCTGCAAATGTCTGGGAATCCAGCAGATTTCTGCCCTTCCTGAGCCGACGGAACACCTAGAGTCGTCTCAAGTCTCTGTTGTGATACTGGAGATCTGCATGTGAATGGTGCAAGTATTTCTAGGTGTTCTGCTGCGGGGTGCTGAGGCTCCAGCATATTTTAGTTTAGCAAGATATAGCATGCCTTTTCGGATTTTTTTTATTTTTATTTTCTCCGAATTAAGTAGTGACATTTGCGGGTTGAGAAAAGCCTGGTTCTAGAGTATGTCTTTATAGTGCTTTTGGATACACAACCACCCAGACTGTCTCTTGTGCAGGAAGATTATTCAGATTTATTATTTCCAGAGTTGGATTTGAGAACCTACAACTGAAAGCTAAGAAAGGTGTGGAAGATCTAACTGTTACAGTACATGAAGTATTTGGGCTGCTGCTGCGACATAAATACACTGGATTTAAGGTCAGGACATGCGGAGTACTTGGTTTTGAAATAAAGGGTTAAACAGTGTTGCCAAAGAAAATCTTTGCATGTTTCCTGGACCCTACATGGGAAGCAAAATACTCATAAAAATACTAGTATTTTTCCCAAACAAAGAAAAAAGTTGAAACATGAGGTCAGGGTATTTTTTTAGCCTGGAAATAAGCACCAGTTGAATTGCATTTCACCAATGTCAGTATCCTGCTGTAGGAGTAGCACACATGTTTTTGCACAGAAGTATGTTTTCTTTTCCCCTCCATTGTAAATTTTGCACAGATTTTGGAAAAGTTGCCCTGAGTGTAACACTGGCAGGAAATAAAGTTCTTACTGTGTGTGCATGCACAAAAGCAAAGATAGGTTTACATATCTTGTGAATTATACATTAAAATGTCCAATCCTTCCATCTGTGGCCCTGACAGAAAGAATCCAGCACCCTTGGTGATGGCTTTCCCTGTGAAAATTGGGTTTTGCAGCACATGCTCTAGAGTCCCTTCTCAGAAAAAGAAAGCGACTACACTAGTCAAGGCCAAAATATCAATTTTTATATAACTTTATATAAAAGTATTTTTGTTATGACTGCAATTATTATCTGCACAATTACAAATGTAAATTTGGAGGTGAGGGACTGCATTTGAGTATTCTCTGTCCAGTTACCTGGAAATGTAAGGAGATTCAACAGTTACCTGATCAATACCATGTCTCTCCTTAGAATATCCTCTATAATTTTTGTTGTTGTTCATCACTCCTTGTATATTGTATCATCTCATATGTGTGATCTTACACTTTCAATTATTTATCTTCATGTGTTGCTCATTTAATCATAATGACCATCCTGGCATAATTTTAACATTACATTTTTACCTTTTTCTTTGCTTTCTTTTTTCCCTTAAATTATCCAGTCAGTATGTAATCTGTAGCCTTCACTTTTTCCGCATCCCCACCTTTTAATAACTGTCTTTTTTACTTTTCATCTGTTTCCTAATATTTTTATCACTGTCCCCTTGACCGTTTGTTCCCTATTACACATGGGCAACAAGAAGCTAACCTTACTTAAAAAACAATATACTTGGATTAACTGCTAAACAACTATAATGACTAAACGCGATTTAAAAACATTTTCCAAGTACAAGGTCGTTCAAAGTTTAGCCGAAAAGATTCAGTTATTACAGGGACTAGGTTCACAGCTTGACACAACAGAAAAGGCTACAATCCCTATAACTTTGAACTTAAAAATTTGTGCATTTGTTGTTACTGTAGACACACCACATTATCACAATAAGCACACAAGCAACACTTTCCCATAGCCAGATACTTATTTTATGCATATAGTATTTCTGTGTACATTTTAGCCATCTTCATATCTGTTTGCCTTCCATTTCATAAGTTGTGTCTCTATATAAAGTTTCTAGTTATAAACCCAGACAGCATTCATGATAATTCTTAGAATATTTTAGAAAACGTAAAATATGCCGTTGGCAAGTTTTGATGAATTGGGAGACCTTGCCTTGTCTTGGAGAATTTTGTACATTATCTTTCTCCCAAATCCTTGTGTTTTGGAACACCTGCACTTACAGCTATCAAACGCATGAGACTTAGGCAGAATTCTTCCAAGCCTAAATATTTCCCTTTGGATTTCACTTTTTTTCAAATGAAACAACATTCAGTTCAAATTGGGTCAACACAAATTTTCCTAATACACAACTGTTGAATAAGCATGCAATTTTTTGTGGCTTTTCCACTTCTATTAGAAATATATTACACAATTGAAATCTAGTTGCTATGGCTTTTGTCACTTGGAGTGTCTGTGAAAGTTATACAAGTAAAAGTGCTCCCTGAGTTGCCTCAGTGGCAGAAAGCATAAATGTTTTGTTCAGGGTTGGTTTTTTTTGCAGTTGGGAAATTCCACATCCTTCTTTGAAACATGTCCATATTACAAATATATTACAGTTATTCCTCATCACATAATTTATTTTTTCTGTTTGTTCATTTCCTCTTCTTATCTAAATGTGAAATAAAACATTCCATCTATTGCGGCAAACCCCAGTACTGTATTATTAGAAGTCAAGAAACACAAGTACATAATAGAGCATTCTCATTTTCTTTTAAACAAAATATGTCATTACTATTCTGATTTTAATTAGAAGTGTTAACATTTTCTACTAATGAATTTTTATGTTGACCGTTCTTGTTCATCACCAGTAGTTTGGTAGGAAACAGCATCATCAAACAGGTACTTTCTGAAAGATGCTTTTCAGCTACAGTGAGCAAAAGAAGCCAAAATTGCCAAAATTATTTCTAGCGGTTTTTGGCAATGTCCTCAATATTTTAGTAATTTATATGTTTCTCAGGAACATATTATAACCCTAGAAATATGTTAGAATTTGTTTAGACAATGAATTGAAAACATACTTGCAGTCAAGATTTCTGGAGGTTTTGTTATGTGAGTTTGGTTTGTTGTTTTGTTGGGGTTTTTTAAGTGACTAGCTGTAAGCTAGCTTATCTGTGCATTCAGGGCTGCAGGGGACATTCTTTTCACTTTTTTGACAACTGTAAATAATAACATGATTGTAGGTGTAGGAAGAATAGTTTTGGCATATAAAAGTGGCAAGTTCTGTAGGCAGAAGTAGTATCTGGTATTAGACCGCCTGTCATAACTGAGAGAACAGGCAGACCATTCAGATGGAACAAATTGGTGAAAAAAGTATTTGGCCAAAACCACCCATTTTTTCCAACTGCATCTAGTAAAAAATACTACTTCAGACCTCATTTCTACCTTTATAATGTATTCAATTGAACTTGCACAGTTAAAAAATCAGAGTTGGAAAAAGTCAGCATGGGAGCCTAGATTCACTGACAGAGGGACCTGGAGTTCCGCTGCTACTGTGACTCACTTTTCACTCGCACCTGAAAAGAAAGTGTTATTTTCATCTCATGAGCAGAGAAGGTAACAAGAGGTCTGATCTGCCCCTGAAAAGACAAGAGCTAGAACCAAATAGCCTCCTCAGGTTTATCAAAATGACTAGGATATGGCTTCATGGGGAAGTTTGCTCTGGTTTACTGCATACTTTTCTACTACACACTGTGCCATGTGTACAGGCTGGGCATCTAAACATCAATGAACAGGTTACATTCCCCAGGGTTGCTAGATCTTACTGCCAGAGGACTCTAGCATTGCCTTGGGAGTCACTCTTCCACTTACCTTTGCAATCAGGAAGGCTGTGGTTTTTCATTGTATTTTAAATGAGGCCACAGACCATGGCGCTGCACTCTTCAAGGCAATGGAAAACACAAACCATTAATAGAAATTAGGGCATGTCAGCAGAACGAAGCACAGAGGGAGGAGGTAGTTAACAGTGTCCTGGATGTGGGGATGAAGTTTGCCCCACCCCACAGCACCTGCCAGCAAGAGGAGGCCTAGAGGGAGGAACTGACAGCTGGAGGTAATTAAGAGGAGGAGGCAGATTCCAGAGTTTGGCTGTCCTGGCAGAGGGAGATTGGGTTTGCGTTGCAGTAAGATGAGGAGCTGGGTTTAGCTGAGCCTTGGGAGTTGATTGTTTCATTGTTAATTTGTTTCTTAGTGAAATTAAACACAGGAAGGACCTGAGCTTTGACCTTGCATGTGGTGTGTAGCCTGTGTCATAGACTAACTGGGAGAGTCACCTGGTTACAGAAGGGTTGCATGGAAAATGAAGAGTTGAGTTCCATCACCCTGAAAGAGGGTGTGAAGAGTACGTGGCCACCCAGGTTCAATGAATAAGGCACGATACCCTTCTTAACTTAAGGAGTGGTTGCTGGAAGGGGCAACCCCGTCCACGACCACCCAAACTTTGTATAGTATGCAGAGGACACAGATGAGACTCTCCCTAACCCTAGGGATGGCAGCTGAGAACATACACCTACACATCCGCACTCTTATCAGCCCATTGCAGCCATG